AGCCTTCGAGTCCTGCCAGCAGCTGAAGGAGTCAAGTCCGGGAGCAGCAATGGCAGAGGTCAGGCAAGAGCCACCAGCGCCACGTCCCGTCAGGGTCTGCCACATCTGTGTGAATTTCCTGCAGAGCCCCGCTGCCGTGGAGCCCTGCGGACACGTGTTCTGCCACGCCTGCATCCAGCCCCAGGCTGCCCCCGACACCGCTGCCACCTGCCCGATCTGCCAAGGGCCCATCGGGTCCATCCGCCTGCTGCAGGGGCAGGACACCCCTGCCGAGGTGGCCCCACCTCGCCGCCGCCGCCGCCTCCATCCCTTCGTGGTGCGCTGGCGGCAGCGGCGGCAGCAGGAGCAGCAGGAGGATGCGGCTCCTGGAGGTGGCCGGCGCCGAAGACTCGCCGATGGGGATAGGCCCCCGAGCCCTGTGCCCCGCCAGCGTCCCCGGAGAGAGCAGGATGACCTGGAAAGGAACGGGCTGGGGCGGGGACCGCCGAGGGGACATGAAGCGATGGCCGCAGGGGACAACCAGCACCGCCCGCCCGTGATCCGACTTGATGACTAGCCTCCATGGCTCGTCTAAACCGAAAACCAGGATGCTGAGGAGGGCCTCGTCTGGATTCTTCTGCCCGTTTACGCATTGCTTCAAGACTAGGGGAGTAGGAGCTGTGGGAGGGAAAGCATATAGTTGTACTACCTTAGGGAGAGAGTAGGATATTGATAGTGATATTAGCTGATACTGATATTAGCCTCAAAATAAAGTTTTTCATTGTTTGAAGCATTAGAAAGCAAGCATTCTTTATCAGCGCTCGACACACAGAATATCTCCTTTAACCTGATATGTGTGGTGAAACTTCACAACAGAGTATTTATTCAGTCCTGATCATACATATTCACTACAACGTGCCTCCTAGTTTATACCCAACACCACTTTCCTGGAACTAATTTGCATGCATTTGCCTTCTACTGGAAGTCTTCATTTGGTCCTGGAGGTAATCAAAAGGGGTTTCTGGCGGTCATATTCACTGAATGCGTCAATATTACAGGTGACCTTTCTTTGAACTTTTTCTTTGGGCATGCACTATTGGTTTTTTTGTTATGTAACTTGCAAAAAAAAAAACCCTCTGTAGTCCTCTTTATCTGTTTCTCCACTGGCTCCATCCTCCTTTGTACATACATTTACGTCCTTTCATCTTTTTTGCTAGTTAGTCCTAAAACTCTATACAGCAACTTCAGGGGAACTGAAAACTTCTATGTGTTATATACCAAGTGCCCCCTTTTCTCGAGACTCTTTTAGACAAGCCTCAATACTTGATTTTCCAGCACAAAGTGTTACAACTCTAACAGTAAATACAAGCAAGTACACACAATGATTACGGTGACTGCCACGTAATAAGGCATAACAAGGCAAACACCACTAACTATGGCAGTTACACCATATCGGGAGCACAAGAGAGGCTGGATCCATCCCCGTTTTCCCGGTATCTCGAGGTATCTCTGCCCTCCACGGGAAACCTCAGGTACAGAGAGAGTAGTCAGCTGCATCCCTTCCCTGAGCTGACAACTTCTTTCATCTCTCTTAAGTATCCAGTCGTTTTTGTCTCCTAGCAACACGTATTGGGGAAAATTCCTTTAGAGAAGCAAAGAACCACAAAAACAACTCCTAAGATCCCAACAGGGGCCATTCCTGCTTGCTTATGCACTTTGCTTATCCGTGAGGGGGCACAGCTAGGAAAGGGAATGGAAAAGGAAAAAAGACTCCGAGCATATTCTGAAGGGATCAGTCTCTGCTTTCCTCACATCCAGGGTGAGGACAGAGGCTGAAATGGAGGTTTGGAGCAGAACTTCCTCCTCTCTCCTGGCCCCACAACACTCCTAGGCTGGAGAAAGCAGCTTTGACCGGCTCGAGGGCACTGCCTGGAGAAGAAGTGCACTCAGCCAGGATGGATCTCATATTTAGGGGGTTTCCTCTGAAGAAGCCCGGAGCCCTTTCTGTCCCTCCCTGCAGGAGCACCAACCTCCCACCCTGCTCTCACCTGGCTCAGTGTAGTGAACGAGTAAAAGGTAAGGAACGTTTTTCTTCATCACTTCTTCAAAGATTCAAGTTTGAAAATTTAGTTTTACTCTTAGTTTTACTTTACTTCCTGCTTTATTTTGGAAAATAAACCTTGTCTGAAGTCACGAAGAGGACTTGTAATTGACACATCGGGTGACCAAGCAGCAAAGCTTCTATGCATGAGAAAAGCATACAATAAACTTTTTGATGCATCAGGCGAACTTCAGCTGGATTCCAACGACCAGCCAATGAACTTTAAGGGAGCAAACATGAATCTGCCCACGGATGTGCTGCTGCTTTGAGGTGAACATGACATTGCCACTTTCAACACCCTCTATAAGCAAGTGCCACAGAAGCTGCAGCTGCTAAATCTACAAAGTGTGGGAGTCTTTGCTGTCTGCTTGTGCCCTCCCATAGTGCTGGTCCAGCTGCCTGGCTCTGCTCCCTCACAGGATGGACTTCAGCACATGGGGAAAGACCCATCACACTCCATGAGCTGGATCCATGATGGCCATAACCCCTTCCCTGTGCTTCATGGAATTATTCTTGGCCTTTCCCCACTTTTCTATCTTCTTTCTTTTCTCTTTTATGGAAAAAATAAAGGTTGCTTTGAATCTAAACATTTAATCTCATTTGTGTTTTAATCTTGCTTTTGAGTATGTTTAGAATCGAATTCTTTCCTCATTTGTGGGTCGAGGCAAGGGGATCTGAACACCCCAGCACCAGTCTGGACTGGGCTGTGCTGGACTGGAGACACTGGGAAGGCTGTGCTTTGATGGAAAGCTTCTTGCCTCCTGTTTCCCTGCACACAGGAGCTGTTCTTGGCCCCTCAGTTTAGGAAGGACATTGAGACGCTTGAGTGCATCCAGAGGAGGGCAACAGGACTGGTGAGGGGCTTGGAACACAAACCCTGTGAGGAACGGCTGAGGGAGCTGGGGGTGTTCAGCCTGGGGAAAAGGAAACTCAGAGGTGACCTTATCAGTCTCTACAACTTCCTGAAAGGTGGTTGTGGTCAGGTGGGGTTGGTCTCATTCACCAGGCAGCATTGACAGAACCAGAGGACACAGTCTCAAGCTGTGCCAACGGAGATATAGGTTGGATATTAAGTAGAAGTTTTTCACAGATTGTATAAAGTATTGGAATGCTTTGCCTGCAGAGGTGGTGGAACCACCATCCCTGGATGTATTTAAAAAAAGACTGGATGTGGCACTTGGTGCCATGGTCTAGTTGAGGTGTTGGACTTGATGATCTTGGAGGTCTCTTCCAACCTGGTTATTCTGTGATTCTGGGGATGTCCCTGGGATGTTTCGAGGTGTTCCGAGGCTGTTCTGGGGCTGTTCCGGGAGTGTCCTGGGGCTGTTCCTGGGGTGTTCCAAGGATGTTCTGGGGGTGTCCCGGGGTGTTCCGGGGTGTTCCGCGATGTGCCGGGGCTGTTCCTGGGGTGTCCAGGGGCTGTTCCGCGGTGTCCTGGGGCTGTTCGGGGGTGTCCCGGGGCTGTTCCTGGGGTGTCCAGGGGCTGTTCCGGGGTGTCCTGGGGCTGTTCCGCGGTGTCCCGGGGCTGTTCCTGGGGTGTCCCGGGGCTGTTTCTGGGTGTCCCGGGGCTGTTCCGGGGTGCCCCGGTCGCTCCCCTCAGGCGGGTCCTCGCGCCGGAGCACAGCGCCCCCGTGCGGCTCAGCGGGGACGCGCCTGCACGCGGCCTCGCCACGCCCCCCTTGGCCGTTGGCCACGCCCCCAAGGCGAGACCCCCCCTGCTGCCCCCCCGCCATGTCGGAGCAGAAGTCCCCGGTGAGGCGGGGAGAGAGCGGGAGGAGCCGGCGGGAGGGAGGGGAGGGAGGGGAGGGACTGGAGGGAGGGACCGGAGGAGCGGCCGCCCCTCAGCGTCCCGGGGCACGGTTGCGGTGCCTTCCCGCCCCGCCCGCGGCCGCTGAGGTGTCCCGGCCGGGGGCAGCAGCAGCAGCTGGGGTGGCAAAGGTCCCGCAGGGTGTGGCGGGTGATGCCCGGCCCGAGCGGGATCCCGGGGCTCACCCGGCCGGGCTCTGAGCCCGCCGCACCTTGCAGTTTTCCATCCAGGATGGCGTGAAAACGGAGAGCGAGCACATCGACCTGAAAGTTGCCGGGCAGGACGGCTCCGTGGTGCACTTCAGAATAAAGCGGCACAGTCCGCTGAGCAAGCTCATGAAGGCGTACTGCTCCCGACAGGTGGGCGCGGGCACGGCCCCGGGGGGCTCCCACAGGGACCAAAGGGCTCGGCCACCCCGGCCGCCCCCAGCCTGCCCGGAGAAGCGTCCCCGTGCTGGTGGAACCCTCGCTGCTTCTCTGCCCGGATCGTGGAACGTGCTTGTGGGAAGGTTAGGAGTGTCCAGGTGTGCGGGAGAATGAGGAGCTGGGATGCTGGCAGCTGCCTCTTCCTCCTCAGGTGCTCCCTAACGTCCCGTGACTTTTACAAAAATTCCTCCAGTTTCGATCCTGACTCTGAGACAATTCACTAACCCTCAGTCATGTCATCCCCAAAAATGTCATCAACTTTGAGTGCATTTTCTGTTTGGAAAACGGCACAAACTTAATTCTCCTATGCCACAGCTTCGTTTCCTCCTCCCTTCCCGTGTCTCCTGCTGCCTATTGCACAGTTGTGACCGCTGCGTTGCACAGGTGCTCACAGCCTGTTCCTCAGTGCCACCCTGAACAGGGGAAGGATGAATCCCCACAGCTCAGTTCCTGAGCCTGGAGCTCCCAACACCTCTGCTTTACACTGAGCAGAGGGTGGGCATGCAAAAGGCTTGGGAAACGGAGTTGGATTTTGTTTGCCCTTGTCTGTTACTTGCAGGATCCTTTCGTCACTAATTCAAACTTTCTTCTCTGCCCTGCTCTGTGCCTGCTGCACCCTGACACCTCTCTGGGTTTTTGAAGAGGTACAGGGAGTTTTAGCATTCCTGTGTGTGACAGAAGTGTGAATCACATGGATTTTTGATTTTAGAGGGCAGAGCAAGGTCCTCAATCCCTGATGCAGGAAATAAAGACTTCTTCCTGTGATTAAACATTTTCAGAAAAGGATTCAGTAGTGTGGTAATTCAGGTTTTAAGGGCAATGTAAAGTCACCAGCATTTGACCTTCCTCAGTGTAGACAGCAAGACAAATATGCTCAGTGTCCTGGTAGTTAAACCTTAATCAGAGAATCACAGAACGCTTTGGGGTTAGAAGGGAATTTAAAGCTCACCTTGCTCCACTCCCTGCCATGGACAGGGACACCTTCCACTATCCCAGATTGCTCCAAGCCCTGTCCAACCTGGCCTTGGACACTTCCAGGGGTCCAGGGGCAGCCACAGCTTCTCTGTGCCATGGCCTCACCTCCCTTACATGGAACAAGATGTAATCTAAATCTATCTTCTGTCATCCCCCTTGTCTTTTGAGTGCTAATTTTGCTGACACGTGTTTTGACAGTAAATCCATGAATACTTAGTTTGGATTCAGAAACACAAGTGTGGTTTCTCATATATAACTCTGAACTTGCAGGGCCTGTTACTGAAGCACATTATTTTTCTATTTGATGGACAGCCAATTAAAGAAGCAGACACACCTGCACAGGTATGAAAAACACTCTTACTGCAAATTGCTGCACAGATATTCGGATGTCTGAGTGATGATCAAAGGGGATTGAAATCAAAATGATCCTGAAATAGTTGCTGTGAGTTTAGCATGTTCCAACAAATTTGTTCAGGATGACTGATGGAAAGTGTTTCATGTCTTAGTTAATTAAAGTTATTTCTGAAGTGCTCTATTGCTGATTAGGAGCAGAGAGCCAAGTGCTTTTGTCACCACGTGTTTTTCAAGTTGTCTGTATTACTTATTATAATTTCCATATTTTAAAAATGTTAAAATAATTCCTGTGTTACTCCCACAGCTGGAGATGGAACATGAAGACATGATTGAAGTGTACCAGCAGCAGACAGGTGGAGGGTGCTAAGAGACAGAGTCTTTTGGAGAATAGTTTGAGGGTCCTCATCACACCTCACTCTCTTGTCTGTTCCTGGATTCGCTGTTTTATTAGGGAACAAATGAACATGCCAGTCACACAGGGTTCATTGAAACTTCAGAGGATATTTACCAAAGTTGCTTGTTGTCTTCCACATGCTGGGTGCAGGAGTCAAAAGAGTATCTGCAGGGATTGAGCTGTGTCTGAATTTAACCATTTTAAGTTCAGATTAAGTTATGTGTGTTGTCTCACTGCTGTTAGCTTTTTTTTTTTTAATGTATTGTGATTAACATGAATCTTTTATCAATTATCACAGTATTATCTTTTTTTTCTTTTCTTTAAACTTGTGGCCTAAGCATTTATCCATGTGTTAGGACCCTGAGTGTTCATTCCTGGCTCTGGTTGGTCTTTGCCCTGTTTTAACTCAATTTATATAAATAGTTCAATGTATTTTTATGTATTTTATAGTTCAATGTATTTTTAACTTATAATTTTCCTTTTAAGATGCACCTGAGAGAAGGAACAGAGATACAGGTTTTAAGTCTTTAGCTCATGGTACAAATTCAGTCAGTCCCTTGGGCAACTTGACTGGGGCTAGCACACAATACAATGCTTAGGATAGGATTTAAATACTTCAGGTTTACATGTGTTTTTTCATATTTTCATATGATAAAGTCAGCCAAAATATACTTTTTTTAATGCAGAAATGGGATTCCTTTTTTTTTTTGTCCTGCACAGGAGGTAGCAGGGCAGCTGGTCCAAAATTGAAATACTTGTGATAGAGTAGCTGTGTTTTTTTTTTTGTTCTGCAAGATTATGAAAATTGCATCCCTGAAACTCCAGGTGTTTGCTGAGGGCTGGGCAGCACCTGTCCCTTTGCCCTGCTCCCTTAACTTTGACTCTTTCTCTGTGGCCACTGGAAGTCTGTGGCCTCGGGTTTCTTTTCAATCTTTTTGGTAGATAAACTTGGTAAATGAGGTGGGGGGAAATGCCTTTTAATGTCACCGAACTGTGCAGAAGAGACAGTGATTGAGGAGAGACATTTAGGTGTCTTCAAAATAATAGTGATAAATAATAATAAAAGCTCTCCTGCCTCTCCAACCTTGCTGAAGTTTAATTATTTGTGTGGTGGTTTGAGCTCCATTAACCCTGTTCCAGAGGGATTTTAACTGTCCTGCTGCTCCATGGAATCATCATCAGCCTTTTCTCTTTCCACTTGTTCACGTTAGCTACGCTCCTGCCTGCTGAAATCTCACTGGAAAGGCCCCTATTCCCTTTTCCATGTGAGCTGGGGTGGGATATCCCGCGGATCCCGTTGTGTGTTCCCGGATTTCCACATTCACGTGCCGCCCTTCGCTGCTGCCCACACAAACCCAGCGTGGCACTCGGGCCCATCCCGGCAGGAAAGGCCGCGTGGGGGCTGCTCCAGGGAATCCGCAGGGTTCCCCCGGCTACAAACCCGCACTACCCCCGCTCCCTGGAGCATTTCGCGTATTATCCTGTGTCCTCCCACGGCGTCGGAGCAGCTGCCGCGTTCCCGCAGTGAACTCCTGGTCCGTACGTTCCCGCTGGGAGCGGAGCCGGCGGGAGGACCGGGCGCTACCATAGAGGCGAGCCGGCGGGATAGAGCGCCGCCCTGCGCCCCGCCCAGCCAGGGGCCGCTCTGGCCGCGCACCCGGAAGCGGCGGCGGGGCCGCGCCATGGCGGGGACGGCGCTGAAGCGGCTCATGGCCGAGTACAAGCGTGAGTGGCGCTCCCTGGGCCTCTCGCGCTGCCTTCCTGGCGGGATCGCTCCCAAAGCACGGGAGGGCCCGCGGGCCGGGCGGGGCCGTGACGGCCGCGGGGCAGGCCAGGCCAGGCCAGGCCGCGGGCCTCCGGCCGCTATTTCACCCCCTCCCCCCCGCCGGCTGCACCGTCCTCTCTGCTCCGTACAGAGCTCCCCGGGGCAGGGGTGAGGGTCACCGGACGGGTATGGGGCACTGCCGGCTTTGAGGAGGCTGTGGGAAAGGGGTCCTGCCTGGAACCATCCCTCTGGGAGGACAGCGAGCGGGTGCGGGTGACACCTCTGGGATTCCGTGGCTCCAGGACCTTAGGGGGAGGCTGGGAACCCTGGGCGAGTGGCCGGTTATTTTGATGTTTTTCCCTGTTAAGTTTTTCAGATGGAACAGAATACAGGTATGGAAATCCCTGTTGCAGAGCTCAGAGGTATTTAGAGGTGTTTGTCAGGGCAGATACCTTCTGGTTGTGACTGCCTCATCCTTGGAAGTGTCCAGGGCCAGGTTGGATGGGACTTGGAGCAAGCGGGGCTAGCGGAATGTGTCCCTGTCCATGACAAGAGGATGAATGAGATGAGCTTTAAGGTCTCTTCCAGCTCGAGCAATTCTGTAATTCTGTGAAGTCCTCAATGGAAGCAGAGTGATTACTAAAGGGATTTAAACGCGAATTTAGTAATGAAAGACATAGGCTTGTTTGTTTAAAAATCAATGTGGGATGTGACTGCAGGGGGTGGTGAGCAGTGATCCTTACACAGGGACCACAGATCTGCTGCACTGGGCTGGGGCCCTCTGGGAATCCCAGTTCTTCTGGGGATCTTCTCTGATGAGTTTGAGAGGTGTCCAAAGGTATTTATTTATAGTTTACCTAGGTGCTTTTGGGCTTTAATGCTCCAGCTTTTATTTACAGCGAGGAAGTAGAATGGAGAAGAGAAATGTTGGTGGGGATGGAGGGAGCTGGGCTGTAAGAACTGGCCTTCTGTTCCAGGGAAGGTCACCTACTGTTCTCCCCGGGCTGTCCAGGGATGGGGAATTGTTTCTGTCGTCATTTAGTGGAACACTCCAGTCTGTGTGAAAGAGAGTATTTATAGATACACATTTCCTGCCAGCACTGTGCCTGTTCTCAGGCTGTTGTGCAGAGCACAACTCGATAAGCTGAGCTGTCACACAGGTGTTCGGGCAGCCAGGGCTCCCCACCCAGCTCAGGCTGCTGCCACTGACAGCTGGAGGTGGTGAGCAAGCCCCTCAGCTGTGTGGGTAAAGTTTGTGCTGACAGTGTGTGCCCTAGAAATCTGCATTTTCCTGTTGTAATCCAGAGGCAGTGACCTGAAAAACAACCACAGAAAGTCTTGGCACTGCTTCTGTCCTCTACTATCTATTCCCTAAGTCTCAAAAAAGCATTTGTGATCCTTTGTTGTTGAGGAGCACAGAGATCTTACTGGAGTGTCTTGTATGAATGAAATCCTTAGGAAAAATGATATTAAATTACCTCAGAAAGATTTTGACTTAATGCCAGAGGCAGACATGAGGTGAATCTATTCTGCCTAGTTTCCCAGGCTAACACTAGTCATGAACAGAGATAACATTTTGTTTGTGATCTGCCTTTACAAGCACTTTCCCATGCCCAATAATGCACAGATTTGTAAAAAATGAATGTAACTCGCAGTGGCTGACTGCTCAGTGCTTTCTGGAAACTTGAGTTGCAGCAGTGCAGTAAGACAGACATTTTGGTGTCTGTGAGTTCCCTTCTGCTGCATGTCCAGGTCTGTAATTTTCTTTTAGCACAAACCCCAGAATCAAGCCTGACTTACAACCTTGCCCTAGTGTTTCTCTAAAGACTGACAGTTAATTGTAGCTCTTCAGAAACTCTTAACCCTGTAGAGAGAGCTTTTGCTGAAAAGTTATTTTGAAAAATAAAAAAAGCTCCTGGTTGTAGGTAGTTTTTCTGCCTCTTTTTTCAGAGAAAGAGCAAGTCCTCCCTTGGGACAGGGCTGGAGTCTATGGTTCAGCTCAGTGTGAAGTTTCTTCCTCCTTATGATGTGTGTTGCTGGCATGGATGTGGGCATGGAAATGGTTTTCAGTGACCCTCTCCTGACTGCTTACCTTGGATGAAATCTTATGTGTGTTATGTACAAAGTTGTGAACACAATCTGTATTCTTTACTTTCCCTCTTCTCCTCTATCTCTTCCCTTTAGTTACTTCTAGACATGACAGTGGTGTTTGGCAGTCAGTGCCTTGCTGGTGGGTGTATTTTCCTTTCCAGACTTCTAATTCTTTCCATTTTTTCCTTTTTCAATTTTTGTCTTTCATCTTTTTCTGTGCATGTGTGCACACACGTTTAAGTCTTAATATAAAGATTTAACGTTTCCTTCTATGAAAAATTCTTGACATTGTGAGGAGTTTCTGCCTGTTGGAGCCCAGATATTTCACTGCATTTTGGGAGAGGCTGTGAAATTGCAAATTGCACTGGTGTTATTTCCATTTGAAGAAGGAAGGGAACGTGGCTGTGGACATCCAGATGACACAGACTGGGATTTTTGTCCTCATTCAGATCTTTACATTTTTTGAGTTTTTGCTTTCTCAGATTTACTATCTACTCTGCCAGGACTAATTTGGTTAAATTTGCAGGATTGCTAAACGGCTGCAGTTTTTAGGAAACATACTGCTGAACTTCTCTTTTAAGGATGATCTTTGCAGTCTCCTCAGTGCTTTAACAAGAAGATGTGTATTCAGTTCTCCTGAGAACCATCCCCAAGGTGTAATTGGCTGATAATGACTCCACAAAGAGCAGTGAAATGAAGGCACTGATTGTGTGTGCAGCAAATCTGCCCTGAATTCCTAATAGAAGCATCACACTTCTCTAGAGTCAGCTCTGTTTTAAGCTTACAAGGTCTGGCTCTGCTCCCAGGGAACAAATAAAAAGTTGCACCTAGGGAGGTTTAGATTGGCTATTAGGGAAAATTTCTACACTGAGGGGGACTGTTTGGTCTAGCTGGTCTGTCAGAGTCGCTCTGCAAGTGATCAGAGCATTGGTTTTAGCCTTTCACTGCTTTCTGCTGCTCACTTATAAATAATTGGACACCACCCTCCCCTGACATTCCATTAAAGTGACCCTGTTTTGGAGGCTCTGGTGAGTTGTAGCAGCTGATGCTGTGTCAGCTCCTAGTAGTTCATGTTGGGCCTCTCTGAAAACTGGGCTCACAGTTTCCTTTTGAACAACTCTGGAGAAATCACGGTGTAGAAGTCACCATCCCCGTGGAAAAACGATTTTTCTTTTCTCAGTGACCAGTTGCAGCAGCAGCCACCCAAAATCAAAGCCTTTGTGCCCCTGAATGCCCAGTTTCTGCTTCACCTCATCCTTAAGGATGGAAACCTTTCTCTGAGGGGGGAGCTGAGCAAGGAAGTGGAGAATTGAACCTCTGTCCTCATGAAGAGGCACCCTTTGCTCTTTGGGTTTTGACTCTTTCTTCCCATTGCCCCAGTTCTCCTTGGAGTGCTGTATGACACAGTCCACGTCAGGGACTGCTGCCAGCTCTTCCAGGGAAATTGTAGGAAACATTAGAGATTTTCTTCTTAGAGAGAACCACAAGATGGAGCAAAATGATTCCAGGAGCTCCTGCGTTTGACATCTCCCTCTTCCTGTCTAAAAGCATCAACAAGAAAAGCTATTGGAGACCCACTGTGAAGCTGGAAAAACCTGCCATGGAATGCCAGGATGTGTGGAAAAACTGTAAGGCTGAGTTTCAATCTGCTGCTGGGCTTTGGAACTTCAGAGTGGGCTGTGCCAAGGTTAAGGGCACTCTGAGCAAACAGAAGAAGTTGCATGATCTCTCCTGGCAGTGCATCTCAGCATCTTTGCAATAATGGAGCTCTTGTAAGAGAGAAATCTGTTCTGTGCAGCACTATATAGTTTTCACCTACAGCCTAAACAGAAATTAGGTCAGATGTCTCATTGATTGGTTTGTGACTTCACATATTCCCTGGGTCAGTGTTCCTGTTTGTTTTCCTGTGTGGGAATGCATGTGGTGGTTCTTGTGGCTGTGTTCTGTGTTTTACTGGCCACTGGTATTCCAGAGGCCATTGATTAGGAAACACTGATATCCATTGATTAGGATAAGCAGCTGGAAGTGTCACCTCCTGCCACCAGCTCCAGCAGCTGCCCCATGGCTCACTGGAAGCCTTGGGGCTGGTGTTTGGGCCCCCAGGACTACTGGCCCTTTGCTTGCCTGTTTGTGGCTGAACTGTGCCTCAGCTGCTGCTGCCTCCCTGCAGAACATCAGAAACTAGAAACTGATGATCAGTCCACTAGATAGGAAAAAATCTGGTTGTTATTTTATCAGCACATGGTGTACCGGCCTTCACCAGCTTGAAGTGAGGGGCTGATGCTGAAAATTGATTAATTAATTTGGAATTGTATCAATTTCCTAAAGGAAGTGAGGATTGATGAATCCAAACTTGCCTGTGCAGCCATGGCTGTTTATTGCTGTTTCTTTTTTTTTTTTAACTCAGATTTTCCAGGCCAAGCAGGAGGAATTGGATTGAATTGAGGGAACAGGGCTGCTTTGTCAAATCTCTCATCTGTCTGCTTCTCCTGTTTTTATGTTGTTCTGGGTTTTGCACTGAGGTGCATCAAACCTGAATGGGTGCAGAAAGATTACGGGAAAACTTCAGACTGTTATGGTATCCAGGAGATACCACAGAGTGCAAGAGAAGAGCATTTCTCAGGCTTTGTGAAATGTTTTTGTCCTTCTTCTCAGGTTTAAATAATTACCTCTGTGAAGACGGGGGACTCAATGATCCTAGAGGTCTTCTCCAACCTAAACAATTCTGTGATTCCAAGACAAATTCTAGGAGCCTGAAAAACCCCAAAGTGCCAAATAATTTTGTCTAGAACACTGTCCTGCATCAAGCAATGGTGGTGGGGCCCCTGTGCTAAGCCATGGCCACTCAAACACCCCCTGAAATGCTTGGGCTTGCAAATCACCTCAATCTTCCTTGTGTTTGTGTTTTTGCAGAGCTGACCCTGAACCCACCAGAAGGGATTGTGGCAGGTGAGGAGCTGAGCAGGGTTTGTGCACTCTGCAGCTGTAACTTTGTGTTCAGGTAGCACTGAGCATTGTTCTGTTCTGTTTCAGGTCCTATGAATGAAGAGAACTTCTTTGAATGGGAAGCCTTGATCATGTGAGTTAATAGAGTTTGGTGTCTGAAATCAGCAGTTGCTGTGATGAGCTTCTAGGAAAGCAAGAATGTAAAAAAGCATTATTCTGTATGACATCAGTATTGACCTGCCTTGGGCTGGAAACTCCTCTGATCCAAACAAGGAGTTACATTTGGACTTTAAACAGTGACAGAGGCAGCACTGGTGATGTGTACAACTTGTTATGATAACTTCTTGTACAGGTGTCATAATAATAAGCTTGCAGATTTGTCAGGAATCCTCATTTGGGCTCCTTTGGATATATGTTACATTTACAAACACTATAGGAAAGAAACAGTTCCTTGTAGATCACACATACCTGTTGCAACATTCTCTAACTGCAAATGCAGGACAAGTTTTGAGTGGAGCAAAATGCACAGATTATTAGTGACAGGAGAAAAAAAATCAATATTTAAAATTACTTTACTTACTATTCAGATTTTTTCCTTGAAATATTGAAAGGTTTTCATCAGAAAAAGTATTGAAATTTAAGTTAAAATTCTTCTGAAATTCTTTACGCTTACGAATCGGTTGGTGTTGTCAAGAGTTGGATGCAGTGTTTTATTGTAGAAAGAGATTCACTCTTGTGTTGGTGAATAGCTCTGACCTGCTGTGTTTTGGGGGTGATGAAGACTCCTTTACAAAGCTGTGTTCTCTCTCCTCTGCTCCCCAGCTGATGGGTGTGGTTGTTTGGTAGCAAGATTTGCCGTGAAAAGACAAAATCTTTTTGCCCAGCATCTTGTCTTCTCTCTTGCTTGTTCTCCTGCTCATGCTGTACTTTCTTTGGGAACTTTGAGTTCATGGAATAACTGGTGGTTTTTTTACAAAATAAAGTTCTAAAATGTTAGAGGAGAGGGGAAGAGACGTTTGTCACTCACATCTGACATTTTATACAAATACTGTACAATTAAAAGATGAAGAAGCTCCAGACCACCGAGTCCATCTTGAAGCTGCTGGTCTGTTGTTAGGATAGATCCTGGCTCTGTATTTCAGGAAAATTTCCTTTCCTTCAGCCAGGGCTGGGTTGTCCCAGAGGACTCTGGGGGCAGCAAGCTGTGGCTACGTGCCCGCTGTGATCTGGGCAGGTTTTCCCTGCAACCACCAGTGCTGACTGGTGAGATTCTCAGCTGGCGTGGGTGGCAGAGTTTTCCTAGCATGGTTTGCTTGGAATGTGTTGTCTAGGGATGAAAAACAAGATTTCTGTCTCTTGGGCTCAGGCGTGCAACCAGTACAAAAGCGTGGCGAGCTGTAGTGAATTCCCTATTCCACACAAGCTGGGCTGTGTGGGTGATCCTGCTGCATGGCAAGAGTTATTTTAGACCTTGGTGAGTGGAGATTTGGATTACCACTGCTTGTTGGCTCATTGATGGCAAGAGTTGGCAAATGCCTTTGCTTATGTGCAGTGATTTGTCCTGGGATAACAGGTTGTGCTTCCTGGTAGCTCAGGCCCCCGAAAATAAACACTGAGCATGGAAATAGGTTGTTTTGTTGCCTGACACCAGAGATTTTGGCTGCAATTTCAATTTATGGTTTCTGGGAGAAGCACAGTCAGCACATCTGCTTCATAATGGGCCAGATTTCAGGTCAGACAGCTGTGATTGCTAGGAAGTGTGGAGATCCCAGAGGATTGAATGCACTTCATGGAACGTGGAAGGAAATTCCTGTTTATTGGTACTTCCTCTTAGCAGAGGTGTTGTGGCTGAGTAGAGATTTCCTGAGGGACACTCAGGAGTACTTCTGAAGTGCCTAGAAAATACCTTTTCTGATGTTTCCTGTCACATCCTTAAAGAACAGAGGAGGTGCTTGCAGACTTGAAAGCCCTTTAAAGTGCTGAGTGTTGAGCTTCGGGTCTTTGTCAGCGTAAAATGAGAGGCGGAGGTGCTTTAATTTTGGTTTCTGTATTGTGTGTGTGTCATAATAAAGTTATATTTTAAGATCTGCTCAATTTTGAAGCTGTGATACAATAGAAACATGTTTACCCCAAACACATTTGGTTACTTTCATCTCTTTACAAACCCTGTTAGTAGCAGTGTTTGCAATACCTTTGGAAATAAAGTTACATGACTTGTTTGTATTTGTCTGTGGTGATCTCCTCCACTGTTTTGTAATCTTAAATGTGCTGTGTGAGATTCAGGGAATGAGGTGTGCAGATGAGAAAATGGGAATAAAGCTGCCTTCAAATTTTTAGACAGATGAAGTGCAAATGGTAAGAAACATAATTGTGAAAAGAACAGAATACTTTTTTTCCTTCACCCAGTTTATATAAAGCTAGAACACATATAATGGCACACAACTTTTAAAAAAAAAGAGACCTAAGAGAGAAAAGATATCTCTCCTTTATCAATTCAAAGGTAGGCTGGGTAATGTTACATAGATTGATGTAAGAGCTTGGCTTGGAGATAAAATAATGCATTTTTAAATAAAGGAAATAATAATTTGTATCTCCAGTGTTCTTGTCTGCAGCAGCAATGCTGAAGGAATGGGAGACATAGAAATGTTAAGACCGTAATAAGATAAAGGAGAGAACAGTTCTTACACTCCTAAAATGAGTGTGATGGGAACAGAACTGAAAACACCCATGTGAAAACCTTAGTGAAGACCAGAGGCAGGGAGTATTGTTGAAAGCCAGATTTTTAAAATATAATTTCAGGAGAGTTTGCCTTATGTTGCTCAATTCCCTAGCACTGCGTGAGGTCCTTCAGGCTGTTGTTGTGTTCATGGATTTCACATTTCAAGGCCAAGTTTTGCCCTCTTTGGTTGGCATGTACAAGTGTGTGTTGCTATTAAGGTTTATCCCCAAAAGACACAAAAGCACGCAATGGTTAAGAGCTTTATTAGCCTAAAGATTGCTTGAAAACTAAACAGTAGAAATTGAAGTCAACTTATCACAAAGCTGTTTAGAAAGGTAATTAGATCTATAATTAGGCTTATGACTTTTGTTTCCATTCCCCTTTTGGGCATCTGATGATTGTGAGGTTTGGTATTTTTCCAGCATCTTTTTATAAATAAGCCATTTGCAAATGTATGTGAAGCTGTGATTATAGAATTAGAATCACAGAATTGTTAAGGTTGGAAAAGACCTGTAAGACCATAGAATCCAACCATTTCCCAAGCCCTGACAAATCCACCACTAAACCATGTCTCCAAGTGTCACATTCACATGTTTTTTGAATGCTTTCAGGAATGGTGACTCCACCACTGCCCTGGGCAGCCTGTGCCAAGGCTGAACAACCCTTGAAGGCCTGAACAATCCCTTTCTTCAGGGAAGAAATTTTTCCCAATATCCAAACGAAACCTTTCCTGTTGCAACTTGAGCCTGTTTCCTCTTGACCTGTCTCAGAGCCTGACCCCTACCTGGCTGCACCCTCCTGTCAGGGAGTTGTAGGAGAAGGTTCCCCCAAGGAGCCTTTTCTCCAAACTAAACCACTCCCATTAGGTGTCCTTCTCAAGGTACTTCTCTCTCCTCTTTATAGATGCCCACCACTCTTCTCTGCCCCTTGCATGAGTGACATCCAGCTCCTGGAGGTCAGAGCTTCTCATTTTTCATGCTTTGTCTTCTGTCAGCTTTGGAATCACTGCAGAGCAGGGGGGTGACTGCAGCAGCTGCCATGCTCTTACCTCCCTGGCCCTGCCAATGTCCTTTGTGAACTAAAAGTGATGCTTGTCAAGTTCAAATGCTGAATGTTTTGTAGTTGTAAATGCTGTCTTGGATTAACTTTAATAATTTCTTTGAAGTTGATCCTGGCAGCGCTGAGTGGCTAAAACAAAAGCATTTTGCTCACATAATGCAGGGCCTAAAATGGAGTATGTTGGGTTGAGTGTATTTGACAGAAGAGCCCTTAAGGCTGTGTGTTTGCTCTCAAAACAGAACATAGACACCCACCAGCTTTTCAATGCCTGTATGTACATAGTCTCAGAAGTTCAACAATAAGCCTTTAAAATGCAGCTGGAATTAAAATGGTCAGGAAAAAATGCATTCAGTTTACTCTCAGATGTGAATTGAATCCTGACTAAATTAAGGGAAAAGGCCAGAAATGGAACAAAGTGGTGGAGATGGTTTAGCTTTCATTCTTGCAGAATGTTGATGCATTTATCTTAGCTTACCTGCCAGTGTCAATATTCATGTTTAAATCACATAGTTGTTGTGTTTATCTACCAGCCAAGCCTTTTGAATCTCCAACGTTTGAGACAGTAAGTCTTGTAGGGCTTTAGGATTTGCTGCTCTCCAAATTTAATGTTCTTTCTGGCATGGAGGATGTAGACTGGGAGGAGGAGGAGGCATGAATATATTCCTAACCCTTATTTCCCAGACAGTGGAACCTTTGTTTGAATGGTTTTTTACTAAATACATGAGGTTTCCTTGGCAACAGTTTTCAGTGCTGAAGCTTTTTTCGTCATCTTTCCAATCAAGGGAAATCATGTTTGTGTTACAACTTCCAGATGGTTCATCAAGTTTGAATAAATCATGGCTAATGAACTTGTTTTTTGCTCACTTTCCGCAAGTGTTTTATGTAGACAGGGCAAAATAGATGTCTTTATGTTCTCAACTCGATTGCACTTTGAACTAGATTCTGAACACAATAAGGAAATGTTTCTACAAGAACCCTGATGAAGCCATTTGTTATCCACCTGCACTCCAGGGAGGGCAAACTCATTACCTGAAGTCTGCAAAGACACATTGTTGTCCTGCATCTCTGCTGACAATTATGGTCTCCGAGCTGTGTTTTTATTTTTCCAAACCTTTGCTGTGCTTTCTGCATCAGACAGTGATAAGTGTTTGTGTGGTTGTACTAGATACTGGCAGTTGGGATCTCTGTGGCGTTTATAAATTAATTTTGAGCTCCAGCATTTGACATCTCTGTCTTGTAGAGCACAACAGTATCTTCAAAGGCACAGGAGTCCCACACCTGCCTCTGCTTTCGCTTGACGTGCAGACACTCAAATCCTGGAACATGCCTTGGAGCCAGATACTCCAATTATATCCAGACACACCCTGCTAATTAAACAGTGTTGTGACCTTCCTAGTAATTTAGTGTGCAAGCTTTGATTTCCCCCTTGCCTCCCAAGCCTCATATTTGGATTTAAGTTTATGAGGTGTGGGGTAAGAGCACCTTAACTCTTTGTTTCCTGGAGAAGATGATATAACCCATGCCTCACACATCTCATTAGACAAGAATTTGGGTGAAAGAGCTGTTTCAAACTTTGGTGAATAACATTTTTTATCTGTTCCTAGGGGTCCTGAAGACACCTGTTTTGAGTATGGGGTTTTCCCTGCTATCCTGAGTTTCCCACTCGATTACCCGTTGAGTCCTCCGAAGATGAGGTTCACGTGTGAGATGTTCCATCCCAACAGTGAGTCTGATGCAGCAGGATGCATGGGGGGGTGGGTTACTTGTGCAACTTAAAAAGAAACCTTTGCAGCAGGAGATGTGCCATCCTTCCCCAGGATGCTTCTCTCCCTTCCCAACCTTGAGCAGGCAGCACAAGCAGCATTCAGCTGGCCAGCAGTTTTGCTCTTTCTGGTCCTTTTTTCCTTATCCCATTATTCCTCGTGGAACTTTTCCTCATAAACAGTCCAACAAGGATTCCAGCGATTCCCATGCCTTTAAATCTTCTGTACAGGATGTGATATTCAGTGAATTAATACAGATTCATTCCAAACACAGAATCATAGAATATGCTGATCCATCAGGATCCTGGCCCTATGCAGGACACCCCAAGAATCCCACCATGTGCCTGAGAGCATTGTCCCAACACACCGTGAACTCAGTCTTGCTCTATGGCTTGTATTTAGGTATTTTGGTGTTATTTTAATGACTGAAAAGTTGTTCATGGGTGCTGCTTTATTAGGCAGCATGGGTTTTGCTCCATGAAATCACAGGCTTAACATTTCTGAGGGCATCTCTCTGAAATACTGAATGCTCTGTCCTAGCAGACAACACATTTACAGGCATTTAATATTAAGACTTTGGTCTGTGATGCTGGTTGAGTTACAGATCTTTTCCAACCTTAGTGAATCTGTGATGGTGACAATATTATCTGAAGACTCTTCAGTGGGAGTAATTGCAGTGACAAGAAGTACAGCTAACAAGTTTGAGCCCTGGACATGAAAAAAACCTTAAAGCCCCTTTAAAAAAAATCTTAAAACCTTGACAACCTGGACTGCTACTTTCTGGAATCAGCCTTGGAATTCTGTGTAAAAGCATTGCTTTTGACATCTGCTGAATCAACATGGGTTGTGCAAAGGTTGTTTATCACTGCCCGGTTTGATGGGCTGGATGTGTGTTCAGGCTGTAAGGTCTGTGACTCTCAAGAGCAGGAAAAGGCAAATGCTGCTCTCCTGCCTAGTGCTTCCTCTTCAGCTGATGTGCACTTGGAAAACACAGGTCATAATCTCAACTGGGAATCTTATTTCACCCTACATATGAGGATTTTTGCAATTTCTTGAAGTTTCTCTGTTACTCCCTTCTGGAAGCACCATTTTTGCAGGTTCTTGCCCATCTAATCCACATCTTTCTGTTCTGTGGAAGACACACCTGCATGTCATAGCATAGAGCTGTGTGGATATCCCCAAGGCAGTGTGGCATCACCTCTGGAGCTCTGATGTCCACAACAGGGCACTTTGGCACTTGGAAGCAGTGTAGCCATGTCAGCACCTTGCTCCAGCTGGACTAATTCACCCAAGCTTCATGCCAGGACTGGTCTCCCTGAGCAAATCCTTGTCCCTGCAGCTCCAGTTGTGGCCTTGGCTTGAGGTTCACTGCTTGCAGCTGTGTTGTGTGCAGCACTGCCAGGAGGAGTGGGGTGTGGAGAAGCACAAATTGCCTGACTCCTGTGTTAAAGAGTGGCTTTACACATGGGTGTTTCTTCCATGGGATAATTGGAACACACTGGATGGTCAGCTCTTTAAAGCCCTGTGACTTGGAGGCTTTTTAATCTGAAGCTGAGATCACCTGAAGTAGACACTTGAGTCTTTCCTCTCAGCTGGGGTTGTGGTGGGCTGCTTCTACCCAGAAAGGGGTTGGGCTTTTTCTGTTTATTCCTCCCTCTGTGAGAAATCACAAGGAAAAGGTTTAAAAAGTCTGGTGTGTCCCCTCATCCTTGCAGCTTCTGTTATGTGAAGGGGGAATTGAGATGCCACAGAGCTGTCTTCTCTTACATTAAAATGACCTTGGATACTGTAGCTAAAGTAACTAAGTAGTGATCAGGGGCATTGCTTGCATCAGTGTGGGGAGATCATCAGATCAGAGGTGGTCTGGGAAGGATTGTTGGAAGGGACATTAAAACCCATCTTGTTCTACCCCTGCCATGGGCAGGGACACCTTCCACTGTCCCAGGCTGCTCCAAGCCCTGTCCAACCTGGCCTTGGACACTTCCAGGGGTCCAGGGAGCAGCCACAGCTTCTCTGGGCACCCTGTGCCAGGTTCCCACCACTCTCTCAGGGAACAATTCCTTCCCAATATCCCATCTAACCCTGCCCTCTGTGCAGCCACTGCCCCTTGTCCCCAGTCCCTCTCCAGCTCTCTTGGAGCCCCTTCAGGCACTGAAAAGGGCTCTGAAGTCTCCCTGGAACCTTCTCTTCTCCAGCCTGAGTGCTCCCAGCTCTCCCAGCTTGTTTCCAGAGCAGCTCTCTGTGGCCTCCTTTGGACTTGTTCCAACAGCTCCACATCCTTAGTTTGGGGCCCCCACAGCTGGACAGGGGTAGGTCTCACCTGAACAGAGGGAGAGAAGATCCATACGTTTTCCTGGAATCAGCCTTTGATGTCTTGAGTGTGCTGCTGTGTTCCAGCTGTTTTAAATGAGGCACTGCACAGAAACAGGAGACTCCCTCACCAGTGAAATCCCTTCTAGCAGTGGGTTCCTTGCAAGAAGTGCTGGTTCAGCACCTGCTGTTTTCACCTCTTCCAGCTACTGTTAGACCAGCTCCAGTCCCCAGCCTGGGGCTGCAGGAAGGACTGTAAATAAAAGTCCTCCACAGTGCTTACATGCTTGGGCAGACATAGGTGGGTGAATGGAAGGAGCTGGAAATGAGCACAGCTGCTCCCAGCAGTCATTCCCACCTTGTTTTGTCTTGCTTTCCTGGCAATGGCACCAGTTTGGCCACCTGAGAAATAGAAGCCCTGAAATTATTGCACTAAAGTTGTCACTCCTCAGGAGCCTGCCGTGCAGGAGAATTAGGCTATGTTGGTAGAGCAGTGTTTTCTTTTGTGGTGCCTCTTCAACCTTTGTTTGGTTTCATTAGCAAGTCAGTAGAGTCCAGTCTCTGTGGAGACAACTTGTACTGTTGCAGACACATTGCTTATGCTAAAGGTGGGAGGGGAAGCACCTGGATCCTTAATTCATAGGTTTCCTTGTTTCCAGGTGCTTTAATGCAACTGAACTTTAAGCAAAAAAAAAAAAAAAAAAATAGTGGGAATTCTTCTGATTGCACCTCAGTAATGTTCCAAAAAAATCAGTTACTGTTCATAATATATTTAACATAACACTATTTTTTCACGTTTATTGTATATACAACATAACACTTTTCTTTCCTTTGTGTAATCCTTTCCATGGTCACAGTCCAGTGGAGGACTCCAATCTGCATTCAGTACATTCATTTCCATTTAAGTAGGACTGGTTACCTGCTTGGAGCTGTGTCTGTGCATAAATTCTTGCCTTATTCCACCAGGCTGCATCGTTCATCTTTTCCATGGAGCCTGTCACTGATTATTAAATGACACAAGTGCTCCCTGCAGGTTTCTCTTGGGTTAGGAGTTTGTTAGATTTGCTTAAAAAAGATTTTTCCTAGGTTTTTGTCTTTCAGATTGTATGTCCTTTTGCCTAAAGAGAAAATTTAAACCTGAATTTAGTTTTAATCATAAAAAAGCCAAATCTCAAGACTGATCTGGAGATGCTGAGCATTAACTAACAATCAATCCTCTGTACTTTTTTGCAGTTTACCCAGATGGGAGAGTGTGCATCTCTATCCTTCACGCTCCTGGGGATGATCCCATGGGATACGAGAGCAGCGCGGAGCGGTGGAGCCCCGTGCAGAGTGTGGAGAAGATCCTCTTGTCAGTTGTTAGCATGCTGGCAGGTGAGCTGCTGTCCTGTCAGCCCTTCCTGACTGAGCTTTTTGCTTTTTGCTTTTTGCTTTTTGCTTTGTTCACTGAGCAAAGCACATGGAAAGCTGCTCAGCAGCAACCAGACTCCTTAAAGCCCTGCTATGTATTTATTTGTAAAGCAGTGCTCTGAGAAGGGTTGGGAAAAATGCAGTTAGTAGCAGTTGTTGCTGTTTGGGGGTTACTGCAAGGCTTTCCTTCCACTCCTGAGACAGTAGTGATGGGTCAGGTGGTCCCAGAGGCTCAGCTGGTTCCTTGCTCCTGGACAAAACCCTCTGTGTATTTGCTGTGCTGTCCATTCAGCTTTTACAGCTGTGGATTGCAGCCTGTGTTGGATTTGGCTTTGGCAACTGGTGGGTTATCAGACCTATCCAGTACAGTAAACTGGAGTCCAAGGCCTCTGGTTGAGAAGCCAGCACACTCCATTTCTCTTTGTTATTCCTAGCCTGGGAATGTGCCCCACTCTGCCATCTGTGTTTCAGGGGAAGGCTTCTTGAGAAGAGACCTGGGGTGAAAAACTTTCTGTGGAGCCTTTCAGATGGTTTTCCCTAAATCTAACAAGGGCCGTGGCTCAGCTCTGTCTTGTACAGCTCTCTGAAAAATGGATCATTTTTCACACAGTGGACAGAGCCACTAAACTGCCTGAAGAGGGCAGAGCCATGTCCCTTGGAACTGGTTTTGAAGGATAAATGGGTTTAGAAGCTGCAAAGTTGACCAAGCAACCGATTCCTACATGGGACTGTTGTAGCTGGGAAGCTGTGCAGACAAATAGTGCCCATGGGATTCCTGTGGCTTCCAAGAGCTTGGTTTGTGGTGCAGCCTTACCTGGGCTGGGAAGTGTGAGAGTCACCTGGTCTTGCTCCCTGCCTGTGCATCCTCATTTCCCGTGGCTTTTGGAGAAATTAGGCTAAAACACCAGTGGTCAGCTTCTTTCAGGGTACTCAGCCCTGGCTCTGCAGGTATTGTAAACCCAAATTTACCAGACTGGGTGAGCTGTACACCTGCTGGTTTTTAAGGTCCATCAGGATCATGTGGAGAAGGATGGAAGCCCGAGATCCTGCCATGAACTGGGCAGGGATGTGTGTGGACTGGTGTGTCAAGGGAAGTGAGCAAAGTATGTTAGTGCCTTCTGGAACCCCAAGACAGTGTCCTGCTGTATGCTACCCATAGACCTGGTAAATCCTGGGGTTCAGCTTACCTTCATACAAAATGGGGAGCCCCTGGGACTTCAGCACTCCATGAGCTTTTTAAAGCATTCTGAAATCATCAGATGAAGGATGTTGCACAAGTGAAAGCATATTCTATGGGTTTCCTTGGATTGTTTTGTTGGTTTTTAATAGAACAAGCCATCCCAACAAGTGACAGCCTGTTTGGGTGGCCTGCTTGGAGGGGCTTTGTGTCTTGAGAAACTGGAGAACAAGGAAAAAAACAGTTCTGTAGGGAGAAACATGCAGTTTTTAAAGGCCTTGACAGTACTAGGGGTGCCCCATTGTGTTGGCCACGTGCATGGTGGGGCTCCAGTGCTGAAAGTACAAACAAAAGAAAGTCCTGCTCCTGTGCCATTTCTTTCTTGCCTGAATTCAAATTTGTTGTGATATCCTTTCTCCAGGAGCTGTCATTGGATTTGCTTTAGTGGTGTTTCTGCAGTCTCAAGAAAGAGAAGTGTCTCAAAGCCTTAGGGAATTCCTGAAGAAGCAAGGAGCTCCATTGCCCACCTACCTTTGTCTTTCTTGTTTCAGAGCCGAATGATGAAAGTGGAGCCAATGTAGACGCCTCCAAGATGTGGCGGGAAGACAGAGAACAGTTTAACAAAATTGCCAAGCAGATTGTGCAGAAGTCACTTGGACTTTAAGCTCACAGAGAGACTGAAGTGTTTTGTATTTCTCTCCACCTGGAAACGAGCAGTGCTCAGTGCTGGTACCAAAAAGGAAAACTTTGTAAAACCATTGGCCTAGTTCTTACAATTCGTTATTTATTTACCATCTCTTCCACTGCTCCAGAGAAGCCTCTAGTTCACTCACTAAATTGTGTGGAAAAGGGATTTAATGGTAGAGAAAAATACAGAGACAATGCTGTTTCAAAGGCTGCTTGTTTCTACCTTACCTTGTGGTGTGGAGAGCCTGGAGACTTGGCAATCTGCAGCCCCCCCTCACCCACCTGCTGTTGGAGAGCAGTGCTGGTTTGGATCCTCTGCTGGCAGAATTAGTTGTGTTTTCATAGGTAGCATTGCATCTGGAGCAGCAGTAGACAAGAATTACTCTATCCATTCTGTGCTTGTTAGGTTAAGGGCAGCAGTTGCAGTCAGATCTGATTTGAAGTGTATAGTTAGCAGAAAAGGCTGTGAAGCAGGGCTGTAGTCAGGGTGTGTTAGCAAAGAAAAGAACTTTAGGGAGTGAGCTGTGAGGACTGGTCTGGAATGGCCTGGTGTTCCCATGTAACACTGGGAGTTTGTACTAATCCTTTGAGTCAATGTTGGCTTGGCAGAAATCTCAAGAGCTGCTTTACCACTCCTTGAAGACACTCAGTTGTAAACTTCACACTCAGTTAGAGGCACAAGGTATAAAGTTTGGATTGTCCAGGTTCACTTGGACTGGAAAATCCAGTGAGGATGTGTTTTCTCTGCTGGGCTTTTTCATAGCTGTACAAAAATATCAGCTCACTCTGGTGACACATGAGTGTTGAGAGGATTTGGCAGTGCTTTGCCATTACAGCCCTGTCACCCATTTTTGGGTGTCTGAGCCAAGATGAGCATGATGGACTTACAAGAATGACCTGTGACACTCTACACTGAGTGCTCTTGTGTTTGAAACAGGAGCCAGAGAAGATGGGCTGTTTGCTCCAGGGTGGTACAATGTGTGTTTTGGACTGCAGTGTTGTAGCCAGTGTGAAGGGTGCAGGAAATACCAGCTGGTCAGTTCTTAAAACTGCTGAGGGGCCTCTGCTCACCTTTCTGCTTTGCAAGCCAATCTCATGTGTAGGTCCAAATTTCTCCAATTTACTACAAGCAATAACATGCCCATTGATAGCACATGGAATCCAATTTTGTTGGCAGCTTTAAATGGGCTAAATTTGACAAGGGCTGTTTGTTTGTTTTTTTTTTAAATGTGAAAAAGTGTGACAAGGAAGGAGTCACACCATGAAGAAAGCTTTACAGAGGTGATCATGTGCGTGGTACAGCTGTTCAGCATTTCTGTCTTGCTGTCTGTGCTGCACTTTGCCATCGTTCTGCACCTCTGAAGAGTTGTGTTGCTACAACCTGCTGATTTTACCTCCTTGTAGAAGTAATTGTGGCTTTGATGTCAGGGTGGAAGTGGGACTGGACATAGCTTGGGAACAGAGATGATGAAATAGTGTTGTACCTAACTAGTATTTCAAGGCATACAGGAAAATGTAGCACTTTATGCAAACTGGGAGTGTTTTTGGGAGTAGAGGGAGGGTTGTTCCTGGGAGTACTGCAGCCACCTTTGGGAACAATGCTGGAGAGCTGCAAGAGCCACTGCAGAAAAACAGACATGGCAAAAGTGAGGTTTGCTTAAGTGCTGAGTGTTTTATTCGTGTGTGCTTGCTCATTATCTTGATTTTATGGTGGGATTTAGTCTGTATACTGAAAATAAAGTGATTATATTTTCTCCTTTTATAGTTGTACACAAATGTATTGCAGTGGGTGTTGTATATGAGTAACCACACGGCCAAGAGACTTTCCCCAAAGGAATGGAAAGGAATGGTTCATTCAAACCCAGTTAAAACATGGGATACTTTAGGAGTGAAAGAGCTGACATGACTGCATGGACTTTCCTGGCAAATGTCTTGTCTCTAATGCTGGCATTGGCTGGATAATTCAAAGAAAATTTTAAAAATCTGACAGTGGGCTGATGTGGTGTAGTTTGCTCCTTGCAAATGTCATTTTATCCATGTGTCTGACCTAGGAAGTTCTTGTGGATGTACAGCAGGTGAATTCATTCAGAATGTGCTGGTATCAGCACTTGGGTTTGAGGAGGACATGTAGATCATACAATCACTGGATGGTTTGAATGGGAACGGACCTTAAAGACCATCTAGTTCCAAGCCCCTGCCATGGACAGGGACAACTTCCACTCAAGCAGGTTTCTCTGAGTTCCTACTCAGAGTTTCCATAGTCTCCAAATCTCTGTTCAAAAGTAAAAAAACTTTAAGTGACTGACATGCAGTGGGTTTGCTGAAGGGCATTTGAAGCCACCCAGTGACCATATCTACCTCTCAGACTTAAAGGTGACAAAATGTAGGCAGAAGTTCCCCTCAGAGGACTAAAACTTGGTGTTGAGGTGAGAACTGTCCTACTTGGTGGCTGTTTACTCAGCTGAAGCCAGTGGGTGAGCATTTGTGTTCATCAAAAGAAATTCGTTGTCCATTGTGTTCATTTAGAATGGAATTGTTCCCTGTGAGGGAGGTGAGGCCCTGGCACAGGTTGCCCAGAGAAGCTGTGGCTGCCCCTGAATCCCTGGAAGTGTCCAAGGCCAGGTTGGACAGGGCTTGGAGCACCCTGGGACAATGGAAGGTGTCCCTGCCCATGGCAAGGGGGTGGAATAGGATGAGCTTTAAGGTCCTTTCCTACCCAAACCATTCTGGGATTCTATGAAAGGTTTAAAGGTGTGGTTGGCATGTTAGATTCCCTGTTTCTATTTGCCAAAAAGAACTAAAACTTCATTATTCTGCAACTAACTGAATCCTTGCATAAAGCAGGAGGATTCAGCTCACGTAGTGGAGGTGTGTGACTGGCTGAGAGGGTCTCGTGGTACAGACACCTTACTGCAGGTGGGAAACACCTGAAGGTTAAAGCTTGTAATGCTGGTGTGTAGCTCCTGGGATAGACTTCCCTGAAGGACTTAATTGTGTCCCTGAATGAACACTCATGTTGGCAGGATGTGCAGTACTGGCCAGTAGCAATGTTTTTCTGAGCAGTTGTCTTTTTTTCTTTTTGTTAAGCCTGAAACACTTATTATAAAACATGTTCCTTGGGGAGTGTCAGAGCTCTACAGGTGTTATGCATGTAGGTAAAGTATTAAAGATTTTTTAAAAAATTCTTTTCTCTGGATCATATTTGCTTTAGGCTTTTATATTAAAAAAAGAACTCCAACCAAACCCTTCAACAAAGCTGTAAAAATGCAAGCAACGTCCTCTTTAAACCCTTTGTATATACACACATCCACACACGCTCACTGTTGTTTTTCCTTGGCAGAGGGGGCTGTGTCAGAACACACACAGTGGGCTGTGAGACATCCATTAACTGGGTTGGTGTGCCTTTGAAAGTGTGAGAGGCGTTGGAGCCACATGAAACGCCTGCAGCTCGGGGGCAGAGCCAGCCCCAGGCTCCCTGCCAGCTTTTTTTTTTGCCTTTCTGGAGTGATATCTTGAATGGAAGGTGGTGTTCTGCCTTGGGATGGATGCAACAGGAAAGCTCTGTGCCTTGGTGTCTTCCTGAAGCTGTGTTTTCTCCTGTGAGAATGGAAAGGAGAAGCAGCACAGATGTGAAATGTCCCTTCCCAGTGCCAGCCGTGCTGCTGATATTGGGATTGTCTCGGGTTGCAGCAGCCTCCCCTGTCCTGTGGTGTGGGGCAGGGATGGGGGCTGAGCATGGGAGGTCCTCACAGTATCCTGGCAAGGCACAGCACAGGTCACATATCCCATGTGCCCTCTCTTTCAGATTGCTCTCACTCAGGAGAAGAAGAAAATCTCTGTGCTTCAGGAAGCTCAAAGGCTGGAGGAGTGTGAGGGAAGGGAAGTAGGGGTCTTGCTGCCAGCTGGAGGTAGGGTTGGGGGTACAACAGGAAGGGGCAGGTGCAGGAAGCTGGAGAATTCCTCTAGCATCTGAGGGCCTGAGCTGCCAGCCCCAGCGAGGGCTCCTGATGTCCCCTCTCCTGCTGCCAGGTGCCACCCAATGTCTTGGGCACCAAAAGGGCTGTGCCAGGCTCCCTGGTGCTGCAGGGATGAAACCCTTCAGAAGAGGGAATTGTTCAAGCCGTTTAACGTCTGGTAGTCCTGCATGGTGCTCTCATGGCCCCGTGGGAGCCTGGGGTGGCTGGGAGGTCTGTGCCTTCCTGACCCCAGTCTTGGTGATCTCCCTGCCTGTCCAAGCCTGCTCTGAGGGCTCTTCTCCCAGGACAGGTGGTGTAAGAGCCCCAGGAGAAGCAGCCAGGTGGCTTTTAAATGTGGATCACACCCCCTGAGATGGGACTGGGCAGTAGCTAAGATGATGGGGTGTGTTAATAGATAATTAATGGCAGTGAGACACGGCCCATAGGTTATTACAGGGGAGCTCTGGGGACAGATTTGGGAGTGGGTCTCTCTGGTCATGTCCCTGAAGGGCAGGGGTGAGTCCCCTTCCTGTGTGCCTGGGACATCCTGAGTGGGGGATGAGGCTGTGGCTCCATCACAGCTCTGACCAGAGCCGGGTGTCCCTGGCTGGAGTGACTGCAGGGGTGGCCAGGAAGGGGTGTCAGGGGACAGAGCTCACTGAGGAGTGAAGGCAAACACCCCTGCTGCAGCCAGGGCTGCAGGGTGACACAGGAGGTGGGTTCAAAGCAGCAGAAATGCAGGATGCAACACGCAGGGGGTGGGGGGCACCCACGCTTCGTGCAGGGCCCAGCATGGGGAGGCTCTCCACCTACAGCTGGCATGGAAGTTTGGGCCCAAAACAGTTTTCCCTATGCCAAAATTATCTGGCAGATTGAACCCAGTTGGGGTGCATGGGGATGTTGAATAAATCAGGGTATCTGTGCTAAGTCAGGGATGGGCTCACACACACTCCTCTCCTGTGTGGTGGTGCTTCACCACGATCCCTCTCTTCTGCCAGTCAGAGGAAGAACTCTCAGAGATCTGATCAGATCCAATCCCAGTTGGGGGCATCCACCTGGATCTGATCAGATTCAATCCCAGTTGGATCCCTCCAAGCTTGGTCAGCAGGTCAGGTGCTGGGGGATCTCCC